CTTCCCCTCTCAGAAGGCAATGAGCTTGCTTTTGTTATTAGTTATTGGAGGATTCAGAACAACAGCCACTAAGATGCCATCAGAGCAAACATGAGCATCTGCTGGCATCAGTAAACCCCCAAAATACCAGTCACGCTACAACTCTGGGTGGGGAGATTTAAGAAAGAGAGAAGACAGTGACCAGAACTAAAAGTTCAATTTGTGGGGGGGAAGAAACAGAACATGGGCAGGGTCTCTGCAGGTTGGAGGGAAAGACAACAGCATACATTTTGAATAGTATATACCTCTGAAATTAAAGGTCCTGTGGTCACCCTTGCCTTAGGAACAAACCCTGTGGTGAAGGTGTCACTTAAAGTCTCTGGTTTTCATTTTCCATCAACTCTAATACTTCTTCATCAAGAAGAAAACCACCCACATCTACCTTTGCCCTTGAGCCTTCCCTCTCTGTCAAAGGCGACTGTCTAACTGGAGTTACATCCTGAAGCCCTTCTTCTGACCCCTGTGACCATTACACCTACTACCTGGAGTCACACACCACTGGAAAACAAGAACTAGGCATCATGTTCCTTTCAGACACCAAACCTGTAACATTAGAACCCTAGAGCCAGGGGTGTAAAACCTGTGGGTGTTGGGGGAAATCACAGGCCCTCCCACGCACGCACATTCCCCTGGCTACCTAGCCAACAGAATTGAGCCTGCACAAAGCAGTGTTCAGCTGGAAATATGGGGTGGAGCCAAAAATGTGACCCTAGGTCAGAGGCCATTTGCTGGCTGGTATGAGGGGCGTGGGCATGCTTCTTCCTCACTTGGAATCTGTGCCTGTTTTATAGTGATGTGGGGTAAGACTCGGGCCGGCAAAGTCTAATGTACTGATTCTCCATACCATCCTCAGGATTAGACTGTAAGCAGCTTTTTAACATTATTTCAGAGAATAGTCATCAATGCCTTCTCTAAATACAAGGTTGGGTATGTCTGGATATTTAAGATTATTGCTCCTAAAATATACTTATATACTTACATAGATGAGAAGTGCCGGTGGTTGTAAGTGCTGAGTAAAGGCGCTTCCCAAGATATGCCTTTGGAGCCTAACAACTCTAAGAGATCATCATTAATACACAGAAGTACACACACTGAAAGGGACTGAGATGCAACAAATCTCCACAAATGATCACCTGTAAAAGTAGCTCCATTCCTGATCTGCCTTTAAAACACGTAGAAAGCAATTCACTCATTTACAAAACTTCTCCCAGGACAAAGCATGGGACAGAAACTGAAGGAGGGGTCATCTGGAGACTGTTCCACCTGGATATCCATCCCATGTACAGTCACCAAAGGTAGATGCTGATGTGGATGCCAGGAAGTGCATGCTGACAGGAGCCTGATATACCTGTCTCCTTATAGGTCTCCCAAAGTATGACATATACAGAGGCAGATGCTCACAGCTAACCATTGAACTGATCATGGGGTTGTCAATGGAGGAATAAGAGAGAAGACTGAAGGAGCTGAAAAGGTTTGCAGCCCCATGAGAGCAACAGTATCAACCAACCAGAGCTCCCAGGGTCTAAACCATCATCCTAGGAGCACATAGGGGGTGACCCATAGCTCCGGCTGTATATGTAAGGGGAGTATGGCCTTGTTGGGCATAGGTGGGAGAGGAGGTCCTTGGTCCAGTGAAGGCTGGATGCCCCAGTATGGGGGAATTCGAGGTTGGGAACGTGGGTGGGTGGGGGTACATCCTCATAGAAGCAGGAGGAGGGGAGGATGGGATAGGGGTTCATGGTTAGAGGGGAAATGGGAAAAGGGGATCACATCTGAAATGTAAATAAAATATCCAATAAAAAAATTGACTAAACAAAACAAACAAACAAAAACTTCTCCCAGGCAGGGCAGTGGTGGCGCACGCCTTTAATCCCAGCACTTGGGAGGCAAAGGGAGGCAGATTTCTGAGTTCGAGGCTAGCCTGGTCTACAGAGTGAGTTCCAGGACAGCCAGGGCTATACAGAGAAACCGTATCTTGAAAAACAAAACAAAACAAACAAACAAAAGTGATGAGTGTCAATTTGCTTACATCACAAGTAAGAATGGAGGTGAGCTTATGGACAAGTAGAGCTGAGGAGATTCTTCCAGAACCTTCCACTTTCTTCCTTCCTGAGGAGAAATGCTGGAACTATTATTCTCTCAAAACTGTGTTAGATATCAAGGAAACCATGTGGCTTTCATTGGAACTGCAAGAGTTTACCTAGAGCGGATAGATTTCTCTTTGAGGCTGAGTGGAGATGTGCTACTCCAAGATGATTTACTTGTTTTCCACTTCATTAGGCAAGATCCTGAACCTAAAGATATCTCTGACTCTCTTAAGTATTAAAATCTTGCTGCAAAAGGAGGGAAAAATGAGATCCTAAGTCGGCTTCTGCCATGGCAATGTTCACTTTTGTTTTCTGGGTCCAAATCTCACATCCCTATTCCGAGACGCATCATGTGTATGAGTCCCTTTGCTCTGGAGGCAGGAATGCAAAGGAATCTGGCTCAAAACTAGAACAGAGGGCTTAATCTGGACCAATGACTTAATCTACACAAGGCTCAGAAGAAAGGAGAAAACCCCGCACTGCGGGAGGTTAATCCCATGACATACAAACCTGTTTTCTCCAACTCCAATTAGAAAAGTTCCAAGAATGAAAGTAACAGAGAAAATCAGAGCTAAGGGGAACCCCAAAAAGCAGCACTCCCAAGCCACTTGGATCCTGACACGCCTGGCGCTAGCTATGCTACAGGAGTTCCGGTCTAGACCAGCTCGTTTTCACCAGTGCCTCTATTCTTTTTCTTGTATCAACTCAAGTCAGGTTTGTACAACTTGCAAACAAAGTCTTCTGAAAAATGCTGGCACATAAGCAAACAGAAGGAAATAAGCAAGCTATATTGCAAGTTGATAACGGGCACTCCAGTTCCGCTGAGCAAACAGGAACCAGGAGCATGTCATGCCATGTGCAAAACCACAATAAAGGCTGGAGAGAAGGTTTCCAACTCGGAGTCAGGCTCCTAACATCCTGAGTGGTGAACGGGCTTCTTGTTTGTAGGAGGTAAATCTAGGCTTCAATTCAAAAGATCTCTGCCTTTTTTTTTTTCTCTCTCTGTCTGACTTTAGAAGTGGTTTGCATTATTCCCTCTTTCTATATCCTGAGGCCTCACCATAGCTTAACTGCCAGCTCACAGCACATGAACGTAGGACATGAAGATGATTAGGATAGAAATACTTTTACCATTAATGAAAATTTTTAAATGGGTCAAAATGGGGAACTGGCAATGCCATTTTTGTCCCTAGAGCTGATGAGACATGTCACAGGAGTGATGACAGCAATTTTATACTTCAAGATTTTATAAACATAAATCATGTTGACCGATGCTTGTCAGCCATTCTACAGGAGAGTGAAATCAGTAATGTATTTACTTAGCACTGGTAGAGCCAGGGAAATCAGACTTTCTGAGTGTATCCTGTGAGGCTCTTTTCCTCTCATTGGATAAATACGATTAGGCAAACGACAGGATGGTAACAAAACATACTCCATGAGCAAGCTACGCAGAGGACAAAGCTAGGGCCTACTTATCTAAATGTTAATGATGCAGCTGGAGAGGACTGCTGCTGCTTTAGATGTTGACACTAGCTTTTTGGGACATGGCCTAAGTGTGCACTGACCACAGAATAATCTTGAAGTGAAAGATACAACATGAGAAGCTATATAGTAAGTTCAAAGCCTCCTATAGCACTGCTATTATTAAAAAAAAAATTCACATAAAACACCGGCAGGCAATACAACAAGCATCTCTAGGGGTGGCTGCATTACAGTGTTCACATCCGGTCTATACAGATAGCCATTATGGATGCCCTCATCCTAGAGAAACCATCATGTGCTCTGATGTATAGAAGCTATATGTGATGCATGCTAAATAGAAGATAATACTTTTGTGGTAGCCTAAATGAGAATGGCCCCTTAAGTTCATAGATTTCGATGTTTAGTTCCCAGTTACTAGAATTATTTGAGAAATATTGGGAGGTGTGGCCTTGCTGGAGAAGGTGTATCATTGAGGGTGGGCTCTCAGGTTTCCAAAGCTCACACCAGGCCCAGTGCCTCTCTCTTTGCCTGCTGCCTGCAGATCAGGACAGAAGGATCTCAGCTACTGCTCCAGCACCAAGCCTGTTTTCTTTCTGCCATATGATCATAGATTAATCCTCTACAACTATGAGCCAGCCCCAACTAAAGACATTTGTTAAGAGCTGCCTTCGTCATGGTGTCTCTTCATATCAATAGAACACTATGATGACCGTATTCAGTACACTGGTCAAGGATTCCACATATTGTTTATAAGTGATGCCAAGAACACAGGGGAGTTGGTCAGATTTTTAACTGGACTGACAGCACAGGAGAGGGAAGGGAACTCAGAGTTGTGAGGGAAGGGATCTCTCTGGATCAATGGAGAAGCTGGGCGGCCTGTTTTGGCAGAGATTATCAGCTCCACAGCTTGGGATGAGACAGTTTACATCATACATCTACCCACTTCTCCCTGCGAGGAGAACGATCTAAACAGAAGCCACCTAATACAGAGAGATAAGAAACCAAAATGGTGGCACTGTCTCAGGAACCCATGTCAAAGAAGGGGCCCAGTCACTAAACTACAAAGGACCAGTCAATGATACCAATTTTCTAAAGTTAGATTGGGATGTGTGCAAAACCAGGGAAAGCTAAAGAATTAAAGGTTCACACTGGGCTTCTCTCTGCATCAGGGTTAGTATTGAAAGCTGACTGGTATTGGTGCCTTCCCTTTAAGTCTCCTTCCCATGGTAGGGCAACCCTCCAGGGATGATCTAAGCTCCTGTGATAGTGACTCAGAAGCCACCCTCTGAAGGGCTGTGTGACAGTCTCCAGCAGGAAGACAACCTGATGGGTGAAGGGGGACAGCAGGAGGGACAGCTGTGTGACAGAGAAGACATGGCAGATGATCCTTACTTTAGAAAGGCCGGGAAGTCGTCACAAACTGCTTCACAGCCTGGCCACTTGCATACACCATGTCCATAGAGCGGATGGCTGTGGGGGTGCTCCTCATGGGACAAGCTGCAAGAGAACACACAAGGAGAGAGAGTGAGTAAAACACAGCCTGGATAGTCCACGTGGCCCAGGAGAGCACATGACAAACCTCACATTGTCATCCCCAAGGAATCTAATTAATCCTGACGATTTTTTTTCTTTTTTCCTTTTCTTTCTTTCTTTCTTTTTTTTTTTTCCTAAGCAAGAGTTATACTATGGGCTGGGAGATTATGTTCTAAACACATTTAAGTATAATTACCTGATGTTAGAAACATATCTTCATGTGTGAAAAATCTTTGACAAGGTTTTGTTTGACGCAAAGCTCTCTACTCAGACAGCAAAGGCTGCTGCAAATGGCCATACTGAGCATACATAATACAACTGGATAATCTGTACGAATCTGTGGCTCTCATATTTTCCACACAGAACATTTCATGTTTCTTCCTCTCCTCTCTATGAAAACTGCTTGCACAAAATTGAATTGTCTTGTCTTCTTCTTTTTTTTTTAATTAATTTTGTCCAGGAAAAAACTATTTAAATAAAAAATGTGCAATACTAAAAAGTATTTCTCAGGGCAAATACGTCCATAACAAAGATTAGCTTAGAATTAACCTGTGGTGGTGGGAAGTTTGTATTTCTCAAGTTACTGACAGCGAAGTAAATGTTGAGAGTAAATGTGGGCAGGAAGGGGTTAATGCTCTGGTGAGGTTCTAATGGATAAGTAATGACCTGGCCACTAGGATCCAGTCAGGAGGCTAGCCATAGTCTCAAATAGTTTCCCTATCCACATTTCCCACAAATTATTTTTACAGTCACTTCCATAACCTTAGATCCCATCAGATAGAAATGTAGAATGAACAAGAGTTCTGGCTTGTACTCAGACACACTCCCTTCACAGAAAGGGAAGGGACATCCTGAAACTTACTCTGCTGCCTCTCCTTGGTTTGAACAGATATGTATGTATGTATGTATGTATGTATGTGCCTGCATGCGCGCATGCACACATGCACATTCACATGTGCACACACGTGTTTCTGTCTTGTACTTTATCCTACTAGTGAGATGCCTTTTCATGTACCATATCTTTAGACTGTAGGTACAAACTGATGCTCCTGGCCCCTCCCTTACAATATAACCAACCCACAGGGAGCACATTCCAAACTTTCAAAGAGATTCAGAGTGAATACGCCAGAGTGTAATGCCTCCCAAAGGCAATGAGGTCCCCCTATGTTTTAAAAGTTACTCTGCTGAAAATCTAACAACTTGAAAATACCAAAGAGTTATTTTTGCTCTCAGAAAGAAAATAAACATGAGACCCAAAAGAAAAATGAAAAATTAAAAACAGTAATATGTAATAATATCAGAAATGTCTACCTTGCAAGAAAAGGAAATAAACCAGAGAATAAGGCTATCAACAGGGAAATTTGTGACGCCAGTGGCAGAGGGGCATTCACTAAGTACAGTGAGTAAAATTCCACCAGCCTCAACAAAGGTCTGGGTTTGTGCATGAGCAGTTACAAAACACTAATAATCTTAGAATTGAAAGACTACTTCGCCAGCACCAAAATCCTCACACAATCTGAACATAAAGGCACGACTTATTAAAGATGCTTTTCTGCATGCTTTCAGAAGAATCCCTACTGCACTAGTTATTTTCTCTAGCTATTTGATGAGATGCTAATTGAAGCAGTCTCCTATACTGAAGAACAGATACCCATGTGTGTATAAATATATAGAGAGAGAAATTTGGAAAATACTGAGAATAAATATCCTAAAGTACATATAAGTGTATAACCTTAGACAAACTAAAATGAGGAACTATATTCTTTACATTTAATGCCATTTTGCTTTGTAAACATTTAACATTTTTTATTTTAGGCGTATGTTTCATCTGCATGTATATATGAATACAACGGGGTTGTCTGGTGCCTGCAGAGGTCAGAAGAGGATGACAAGATCCCATGGTATTGGAGTTAGATAGCTTATGAGCTACCATGTGGGTGCTGGGAAGTGAACTTCGTTCCTCAGCAAGAGCATCATGCCCTCTCTCCTACTGGGTATCTCTCTAGTCTGAGTGTCATTTGGTAAAATCAAACAAACAAACAAACAAATGAACACCTCAAGTTATCAACTAGTCTCCAAAACTTTCGCCTATTGATGGGGACCATGGAACCGTCTTCTGCATCTAACATTAACCGTTTGTGTAATTTGGACACTAAGATTGCCACTGTATTTCTTATGTTTATAAAGTAATGTCAGAGATAAAACTTATTAGGCTAAACATCTTGACATACACTGATCTCTACCAAAAGACACATTCAGAGAAACTCAGAATTAACCAATCAATGATACTAAGATTGACTTCACTAGGACAACTGTATCAACTGTGCCTGCTGAGTGCTTGAACCTCCTAACCTGCACTGTCATCCACTATTTGTATTGTGTATTTGCCAATGTAGAAGCCAGGAGCCTTGGCTATTGAGAACATAAATTCTTACTACCAGTCAGGAACTGTAAATGGCACTCTGACTAGTCAAGAATTCTCAGATTATCAATGTAACATGCTCACCACAGTGCTTGGTTTTCTGATGAGCTCATGAATTAAAGCTGTGTCCCTCCAAGTGTTTATTTCTGCTTCAACTTGGAACCAGCTGGAGGATGGAGAGAAGACTTAGGTCCTGATACCCAAAGCCTAAATAAACAATAAACCTGTGCACAGAAGCACATACTTATTTGTTAATTTAACTGAAACCACCTTTCCTTATTCTGAAAAGATCACATGCTCTTATTGTCACAGTGCTGAGTTGGCTGACACAGAATATGCTTACCCCACCCCGTCCTAGACATCACTGGTCACATTTTTGTGGTCACTATTCTGTATCTCATCAGCTTTCCCTATGTACTGTGTAACTGAATACATTTGAATATTCCACTGTCTGAAGAGAATACTTAGGTTTGGATGGAAGAAGAGGTTGGCAGTGGTGTACCCCTGTGAGACCTCTTGGAAAAACTCTTCAGAGACCAAACAACTCAACCCTGGGAGATATGCTAGGAGCCAAGGAAGGCTGAGTATTACCTTACAACTGCTTACACCTTTTATGAGGTTTTTATTTTGTGGATTGTAGGAATCCGCTGAAATGCAGTTGTTACAGGTTGCATACACTCACGCATACAGTAGGAAGAATAGCAAGTACCACTCAAGACTAGATTCACAGTTTGCCATTGGCTCTGCTGTCATACGAAAGCTTCACAGCCACCACGGACCACAGCTGAGGCTGGCTTCGGGCTCCCTGAGTCATTCTGTACACAGCCACCATGCAGCCCAGTCACACCTCCAGATAGGAACTTCAATGTTTCATCAAGAGAGTAGAAGGAACGTTAGCTTTGCACTGCTTTCTATCTTCTGAAAAAAGGGCTAAGAAAGAAAACACAAACTCATCGAGGTACGTTGATCTCCACGAAAAAACAGGCTGAAGACAGCTGGCAAGATGCGCTTTTGATAGAGGCAACCAGGTGAGCATCCGATAGAGGTGACCGAGATGCAGCATGACATAAACTGGTCACAGGTGGCCGAGAAGATAGAGTAGACCATTAACGTCTGTGAGGAATGCTCACCAGGCTGGCTTTTAGATGCTCAAACATATTTACCCAAAATAAAACTGCAAAAACTCTGCATCAATTGCTTTCTTCTTTCCTTTCTTCACTTTTTTTCCCATCTCCCTCTATCTCTTTGCCCAGGTGGCTTTGAACTCCACATAGCTAAGAATAACCTTGAATTCCTGATCCTCCAGTCACCAACTGCCACATTCTGAGATTACAAGTGTACACTACACTATGCCAGGTCCCAGGTCGAATGTCAAATAAAATTTTAGTTTGTTTTGCTAGAACTCTCAAGTTGAATATTCCTATAGGCAGTGATCACTCATTCTCACATACAGACCACCTCATACCGTGCTGAATAAATGCTATGGAGATTTATCAATGAGAAGACAGCAAATGCCTCATCCTATTTCATTTTTGTTGGGTGATATACTCAATATGTTTTCTCCTACTCTTGTAGGTAAAGACCAGCATTATGCAAACCCCCAGGAGAAAATATTGCTGAAGACAATTTGTATTACTAAATTTTATTCAGGCTATGTGTAACACAGATAGAACATTCCAGAAAAGCCAATTGATTTAAATCTTTTCTGATAATCCTTGCTACGTAAAAACTAAATATAATTTACCATGAGAACAGTGGTAGCGTTGCAGACGTGACGGAGTCAACGTGCCAGGGGAAAGTATAATTACACACAGATATGAGCTAACTCCTGACACTACACGGTACTTATCAATGCGTTTACATTTGCTGTGGTGTGATGCCTCCGTTCCCAATGACATTTGCTATGCTATTTCCGTTCGATTTATTTTTCTGACATTGACATACACCAGCCACAGTCTTTACTTCCACATTGGTGGTGGAAAAGATTTTCTTTTCAGTCAGTGCTGGAGCTTGAACCCTGGGCCTTCTGGATTCTGGGCAAGCATGCTACCCCCCCACCCCCGAGCTACATCCTCAGGCCTCTTGGGTTAGTTTGGATGCTCTTCATTGGTGAGTTCACTTTCCCCTGTTCAACACTTAGCTACAACTGGAAACTGAAATTATTCCTGTCACCTGCCACAAGGACTACTTCTCAAGATTACAGTGTGCTGACTTCAGTGACTTCAGTTCAAGCTGTGGGTCCCTTTTGTGACCAAGGGAAGAGGAATTCTTGACTAAGGAGACAAGACTGCAGACCTCACCAATCAAACATGTCCTGCCAACCTACACAGCAGCTTTGCTATATAAATCAATTCCTCCATCCACAAAGGCGACAACTAAATACTTAACTGTGCACATGTCTTCTGAGTCTCCCCCTGGGCTCACTCTTGTCCTATCCCAAATTTGCCTACTTGGTCTTTTAAAACTTAATTCATCTGTAGCCAGAGCCAATAACAGTGTACGTCCCTCTCCCTAACCGCCCATCACACCAAAATTATAAACT